TTTGAGACAGGGTCTCCCTGTAGCCCCAGCTGTCCTGGAACTCACTAAGCAGACCAGGCTGGCCTTGAACTCACAGAGATCCACCTGCCTCTGCCTCCCAAGTGCTGGGATTAAAGGTGTGCACCACCACGCCCAGCTGAATATGTATTTTTTTTTAATCAAGATTAAAGACACATTGTTAGGAGTGAGAAGAGAAGCATGGTTTTAAGTAATTCATACTGATTTTTAGAGAGTAGTCTCATATTGGTTTTAACTATAAATTTGTTTGGCAAAAATAAAATTAGGAATTGTGGGTATACAATAACAGGGCAAAAAATGCCTGAGAGTCATAGTTTCTTTTTCTAATGTGAATTAAAGGGGCGGAAATCTTAGCTCTCCTGTTTTCAGGACAGTCAATGGATACCTGTCCTGATAGAGATCAGGACAGACACATGGAAGACTATCATTCGGCAGTCCTCTCACTAGGATATCTTTGTATCTATCAGTTACTGTAAATGGTTCCATGTTTCATGCACTATTGAAGAAAGATTCTTTGAGGTTAGCCATCTGCTTATGGCTCAGATCACACTTTGATCTTAATGGCTTCACTTTCCCAAAGAATTACACTGAAACTCAGAATCACATGCTTATTCTCAGTGTAGCTCTTTATATAAAACCAGAGTGTTCTTGACTATTATTGATTGGGTAGCTGTAGGATAGAAATGCAGAGCAAAATTCCATTTACTTTCACTAATTTTAGTGGTCTGCTTATAACATTTCGGGGTGAAGGCACAATGGAAAGAGTAATGTACTCCATTTTCATTCGGAAATATTTTTTGAGACAGGGTCTCACTATATATCACTGGCTGGCCTGAAACTCGCAGTGTGGACCAGGCTAGCCTCTCTGCAGACCAGGATGGTCTCACACTCACAGAGATCCACATGTCTCTGCCTCCTGAGTGCTGGAATTAAAGATGTGTGCCCCCACAGCTTGACCCATATATATTTATTTTGACAGTACTGGAGATTGAACCCTGGACTTTGTGCATGCTTGAGCAAATGCTCTGGGATTGAGCTATATCCTTATTCCCCCCCTTAATTTTTTTTTTTTAGTGTGTGTGTGTGTGTGTGTGTGTGTGTGTGTGTGTGTGTGTGTGTTCGTGTGTGTGGTGTTCATGCACGTATGTATACATATAGTCCAGAGGACAACTTCTGGTGTCATTCCTCCTTAGGCATCATCTACCTTGATATAGGATCTCCTATTAGCCTGGGGCTTGCAGATTTTGGGGACCTACCTGCCTCTCTCTGCCTTCCCATGCTGGGATTACCAGTGTGTGCCATTCTGGGGATTGGACACAGGTCCTCTACTTGCACAGCAAGCACTTTACTGACCGAGTTATCTCTCCAGCCCTATCTTTTCACTTTTAATTTTGAGACAGGGCCTTACTAAATTTGTCTGGCAGGTCTTAAACTTTTGCTCCTCCTGCCTCAGCTTTCTGAGTAGCTGGGATTACAGGCCTGTACCACCAGGCATGGCTCGGCACTTTACAAATATAACAGTTGGCATGGTTCTATTCTAAGGCCATGTGATCCATGGGACTGTGATCTCTTTCTTTGAGGAGCTCAGTTTTATTTCAGAAGGCATAGGAGCTACAGTGATTCTTTTACACTGTGCAGTGATGTGCAATAGAGTGACAAAGTGCTATGAGAGTACAGGGGCAAGAGACATGAATTTCCTGGTGGAATTCAGTAAGCCTTCATTCATGAAGAAGGTGGTGACATTTGAGTGAGGCTTTAGAAGCATAAGTAAACGCTTGCCTGATAGCAGGTTGATGAGCTGTCAAAATGGGAATATGCAAGATACGTTTGGGCCGCAATCAATAAAATCATATATGGTGAAGACAAGGTGACAAAAGCCATAGTAGGTAAAAAGTAGCCCAGGGTAAGTTGAAGTATGACCCCAAAAATCAGGCTGCTATTAACCTTTTCTTAGCAGGATAGAGTGGTTTTGTGATTTGAGTGCATTCAGTTTCAGATTGAACTATCACTACTGTTACTGTTTTGAGTTTTTTGAGATAGTCTCACTATGTACCTCAGGCTGGCTTGGAATTTGCTATGTAGCCCAGGCTAGCTTCAAACTTCTGAATCTCTTGCCTCAGCCTCCAGAGTGCTAGGATTACAGGCTTGAACCACCCTGCCTAGCCTTCAGATTAAATTCTAAGAATTATTTTCTTCTTTTCAAAGACCAACCTTCTTGCTTAATACTGGGGTGTTTAATAACTCTAACCCATTATTTGTCAAATGAACTTTAACTTATTCTGAAAATACATGACAAAATCTTTTGAAATCTTAGAGTGGTGTCCCTGAGGATAAAATGTCTGGATAAACAGAAATGAGGATGAGAGAAAAAGAAGCTCAAAGATTCCCTCTTTGGGGGCTAGAGAGATGGCTCAACAGTTAAGAACACTGGTTGTTCTTGCAGAAGACCCAGGTTCGAATCCCAGCACCCACATGGCAGCTAACAACTGTCTGTAACTCCAGTCCCAGGGGATCCGACAGCCTCTTCTGACCTCCCGTGGGCATTGCACAACACAGGTGCACTTATCGACATGCAGGCAATACACGCATACACATAAAATAAAAATAATAAAAATTAGAAAAAGATTCCCTCTTTTGTGTTTATGTACTGTAAATATATTTGTATTCATAGACTCACCCTTGCAGATGTTAAAATGTTTGAAGTTCATTAGGCATCTTTCTTCTGAAAGAGTATAAAGTGCCTTTGGGCTTCAAGTCTCAAAAATGTACCTCAGATTTTATAAGTTCAAGAACAGGAAAAGAATGCAAAGTGGCAGAAGTGACAAAGTAGAGGGAGGAAAGACAGGAAGAAAAGACACAGCACCCCCTGCTGCCAAGGGTGGGTGGTGCTGAGGTGTGCCCCTGTGATGTGGCAGCCACTGGAAATGTTCCTTCACAGCCTGACACTCTAGTTTGCTTGAAACAGGGTTTAGAAGCTGCAGAAACAGGAGAAGGGTATGGAAATGCATGTTTTTAGGAAAGCCCTTTTATTTTTGGGACATTTCCAGGGTATTCTGGTGACAGAAGTAGCAGTGATGCTTCCACTCTGTCTTGCTAAATTGTCCTTTTTTTGTAGCAGTTGAATCAGTCACGCCTAGTAGGAGCCTGCATTGTCAGTGTTCACTTCCTCTGTTTGAAAATAAAATGCACTTGGCCAGAGCAATAGAAACTGTTATAAAAGACTTTTATGAATGACTGTGAATGAGACTGTGTATTCTCTTTCTTTCAGAATGCCAGTGACCAGTATCTGGGAGAAGTGTTTTTTGATACCTCACTGTTTGTGCACTGTGGTTTTCTCGTTGCTCTCACTTACCAAGGATTTTGCTCTGCATTCATGAGTACTGTCTGGGTAGCATTTCCACTGCTCACAAAGCTTTGTGTGCACAAGGACTTTAAGAAGCATGGTAGGCTATTTTTGGGTTTTGATACAAATGAGAAAATACATTAAAATATGCAAGGCTTTCAGAGACTGTTAATCAAATTGGCTTTCCAAATTATTAGTTTGCTTAAAAAAAATTTTTTTGTAGCCCCAGATGGCCTGGAGCTTGCTATGTAGACCAGGCTGGCCTCATCTCACAGAGATCCTCCTGCCTCTGCCTCCAGAGTGCTGGGATTAAAGGTGTGCACCATATGCCTTGCAAATATTTATCTTACACCTTATACTACATCCCATTCCCATGTTTCTGAACACATGCTATTATATTACTTGTATATTTTAATATTATTTTTATTTTCTCTTCCTTGATGAAAATGTCTGATCTCGCTTCATCATATGTACTAAAAGGGCAAGAATCACATCTGACCCTGTTTCTGTTAGGTGTCAACACAGGTGAGTACTGTAAAAATCTGCATCTTACAGTAAATTTCATAGATGTTTTCTTTCTCTTTTCCCCACCAGGTGCCCAAGGAAGATTTATTGTTCTTTACCTTTTGGGGATGTTTATCCCTTATCTTTATGGACTTTATCTCATCTGGGCTGTATTTGAGATGTTTATCCCTATCCTTGGGAGAAGCGGTTCTGAAATCCCACCTGATATTGTGCTGGCCTCCATTTTGGCTGCCTGTACGATGATTCTCTCCTCCTATTTTGTAAGGAAAAATGGGTTTCTTTTGTTTTCATTTTTATACAGATATGTGGTGAGTTTAGCTATACTAGATTCTGTGAAATTATGTTGCTTTATTGAGAAAATCTTAAGGAAAAGATAGGGTGAAATGTCTGTGCATCTTGTGAGTTTAATATGTCAAGAAAATGTAGAATGGCATGGTGGTGCACACCTTTAATCCCAGCACTTGGGAAGAAGAGGCAGATGGATCTCTCTGAGTTCAAGGTCAGCCTGGTCTACAGATCGTGTTCCAGGGCCACGTAGTGAGACCCTGTCTCAAACAAAAACCAAACAAAAATATAAAGAACAAACAAAAACACCTAGTAGAATGTTTTGTTGTTGTTTTATGTTTTTATTCCTTTGTAAGGAAAACTCTCTGCCTGCCTCTCTCCCCCTTTA